CGGTGGGGTGGCCGATGTCCGATATTGAGTTTTAAGGCCGATACCGATAGGGGGCCGATTATATCGTGCATCCCTAACAGAGATGTTAATGTAGTTTGGATCCTATTGTTAGGATTGCTTTACAGTCTTACTAAGGTTGCTGTTATGCTTGCTGCTTGTGCGTATTGGATTCTTCAGCTGAACATTTCATATCTTTATAAATCTGATGTAATATTCAAACTCAAACTGAATTCAAGATTTGCATTGACTTTGAGAATCATGAAAAAGAACAGACACAATTTTTAATAAGATTTGCTGAGGCTAATGAATCTCTCCTCCTCCATCCCAAAGGTAAAGATGATATGGAGATGTGTGAGCTGAGTCTGGAGGAGACGGGTTTGACCAGGAAGAGGGGAGCTGAGATCCTTCCCAGGCAGTTTGAGGAAATCTGGGAGCGCTGTGACGGGATTCAGTACCTAAAGAAAGCGATAGAGAACAAGCAGGCCCGCCCAACACACGCCACCGCCATGCTGCAAAGTCTTCTTAAGTGAGGCCCGCTAGGAAATGGCCACAGATGCTGCCTGCACAATCTTTTAATCTTTTAGCAATTTGCTCACTTGATATGGATTCTTATTACTGGTTTTATTTTTAAATATTTTGCAGTGAAACACTTTTAGTTGTGTTAGCAATCTGGTAGTAATTTAAAACACTCTGTGCAGAAATGAAAAAGCCCACCCTAAGGCCTTAAATTGCTGTAAAGTTGCACCACTGAAGTCTTAATTGATTCATTCTTTGTAGCTCTAAACTTAAAACCCAAATTATGACACAGAATTAGATTTTTAAAGAGTTTTAACTGTCTTGTGATGCCATAAAATCCATGCTTTTAATTTTTGTGTCCATAAAGGAAGACAGTCACAGTTAAGACAGAAATATGTGATGATGTGAATGTTTTACACAAAATCCAATTCTCATTCTTAAAACAAGCTGACGCCGACTATATTGGATCATTTGAACATTTTATGTCATCATTTATGGGAGATTTCATGTAATGCTGCAGAAATGTGATGCCTTTGAGGAATAAAAATCATTTATTTTTCCTGGCTAGACACGTTATGACTCTTTAGTCCTTTTTAGTGATGCTGATTTCAAATGGAAGGGGAGGCGTTTTCATGTTTGCAGTTTTGTGCATACAGGGTTGTTCTACAGCTTATAATGTTATCGGCGTTTGCGTTACGATTTTTCTTTCTTTTTTTTTTCAATGGTTAAGGGAAAGTGACTTATAATTTATCTAAAAAAATTTAAGACAACCTAACATCTCCTGTATGATGGCCTTTTTCTCTGGAAAAAAGAAAATAAACATTTCTGAAATATGCATTGATTTCTTTTGTTTGTTTCTATTATTATTCTTGGTCAATATTTTGAACATACAGCAGCACTTTATAATTGATAGTTTATATACGTGGGTTGATTCCATAATTGTTTGAAATGAATTCCTCATATAAAAGAAGTTTAGGGGTATTATAAATCCTAATCATCAGGTTTTTTTTACATAAGCGTCAAATGATCAGTGACTATAGGAATAAATGGAGGATACCATTTAAAAATCCTGATGTGGGCCCAGTGTATGGGGCCAAAATTGTTGCTTTATTA